TATATTGTTTTGTAATCCATAAGACTATGTCAATCTGTATCTCTTCTRTATCTCCATTTTCCCTACAAATTTTGTGTGTGTTAAATCATCACTCACAAGTAAATCAAAGCTTTTATCTTTTTATAATGCTAAAACAAGGTTGTGAAATGTCAGTGTTTAACTTTTGCTGCATTTCCAGTTCTCATTTAGAACCAATCACTTAACTTCATGGTTGCATTATGTACAGCCATGGCAGAATGTGCTGCTTTTGATGACTGCTTAGCCCTTTTGTGCTTAGGCACAAGGCTGGCACAAGACATTCATTAAAGTTCTGTTGGGTCCCTTAGTTCATTTCCTAAACTGTGCTCTCCTGGAATCTTTTAAAGCCTGACTTAGAATAGCCTGACAAAAGCCTCCTTTGACCTTCAGAAAAACAAAGTTTTGTAGCTTTGGTCAGCGTCTCATCTGAAGATGACCAGTGGACGTCGATTCTTTTGGATGGCAATTTTAAGGTTTTAAGTTTTGTCCTGCCCTGGAAAGAAACTAATCTCTGTGAATTTAAATTGTAATGTTGGAGCTGTCTTATTTTTACCTAATCATGTGGATATTGACCTGGATGGTGGAGGGACCCAGAGCCATATAGCATTGCTTTACAGTGTTTTGTTTCATGCCACTGTAACTTAAAGATTGCATTATATCTCATGAGAGCGTATGTCTGTCAAAGCAGTTGAGTGATTTGCCTCTCACTGAAGTACTTGTAGTGCTTTGGGAATGAGGAGTGGAAATATTAACAAGTTTTCTGCTTAAAATTTGGAAATGACAACTGATGAAATCTAGCCCTTTCCAGAGACACAGTAAAACTGTGGGGATAAGATAATAAACTATCCCTTAAGAGTCAAGTGTGACTTCATTATTGTGAATACAAGTGGTGAAAATGAACATATAGTTCTGTTCCATTTCCTTTTTTTTTTTTTTTTTTTTAAATAAATTAACCTTATTCTTTGGCGTATACATTCAGTGATGTTTTAGAATGCTGCTTCCTTACACCAATTATAACGATGACTTGAAGACAAGAGAAAATTAAAGATATTTATCAAAATGTTTTCATCTCATTGGTAGAAACAAGAACACTTGCCACAAAAATACTGTGATACCTGGAAAAGCTTTTGGAAGATAAAGCAAAATATTACAAGCACTGCCTTCTTCATTTTTTGCTTAGCTTATCTTCTTAGGAAATAGCTGKGCTTTTATTATTTTTTTAGATAACTCTTTTTTTTTTTTTTATCTTTGCTTGCACTACTACATCATGGTATATTTATAGAAAGAAATATAAAGAGAAATGTTATTATTTGATTTTTTCTTCTTTTGAATATTTAATATGCTTTAAACATACCAAGCTTCTCAATGTTATGTGCCTAGCAATTTTTAAACAATAATTGTGTTTGTTCTGAATTAAGTCCTTTGCAAGCAAACAAAAGATACTTAGTGAGAAATACCAAACTAGGGAAAATGCAGTATCAGAGCAAGCCTACAGGGTGAGGGGGTGCAGAAAAAGGCAGTTCATGCTCCATAACTGTGTCAGAGGGAGAACAGGTATCTGAAGGACAGCTTCATTACCATGGCTTTTAGCCATGAGGCATTATGTTTAGTCACGCTGGTGGCCCAGCATTAGGAAATTGAATATTGGATATATCACAGCCTTTCTTTTCCAGAGATCTGTGAAGGTTTGTACCTGCTTACCACATGTAGGCAGCACAGAGCAACTTTCCTGGCGATTTGGGGTAGTTCTGTGCTTGGGCACATAGTCATTGCTGCGCGAGCACAGTAAGTGTGGTGCCCTGCAGCGGGTGGCAGGACCTTCTTGAACACATCACTGTTGCTCTCCTGGTGCAGCTGTTGAAATAAGGAGACAGGGTATTTTGGGTCCAGGGGCAGAATTTTTTTCTCTTTCAGTATAGTAGGCTGGACATTAACATCACTAGCACTGCTACTTTAAAAAAAAAAAAAAAAGTAATAATAATAATAATACAAATGGAGATAATTTCTACCTTAATTTGCTCTTCACCACCTGGCCAGTGGAAATGAYGTAGGAGCTGAAGTATTCGGGATAATGGGAAGACCATACTGGWGGATGCTCTGCAGATGAAGAAGAGGGACCCAACCTCATCTGATGACACCTGCCCAGAGTCAAAAAGCCTAGGCAGGTTCAGCTTGTCTGCACTGCACTAAAGCGAGGGGAAACCAAGTGGTTATCAAGGAGTGAGCTTGGATTTTACTCTGTCTGTTCCTGCCGGGTCTYGTGGAAGTGAGTCCCTTGCTGCTGTTTCCCTAGTGTCCCTCGCAGCGGAGCAGAGCCGCACAGCGCTGGGATATTGAAGCAGGTTTGATGGGTGGCCAGCACGGGTGCAGCTTGCCACAAGGACTCATCATCTCTGCTGTGCTAAGGCCAGCTAATCTGTTCTTGGAATCAGGCTGACTGTGAGCCTCAGCGCAGGAGGCTGTTCTGCACCCAAATGAGCTCTKCAGAGACCCAAAGCTTTGCCTCTGCACCTGTGGCTTGTAGAGAACTGGGAATTGACCCTCTTAAGGAGATCTTACATAAAATGATATATGTACTAAATCAATTTGCTGATATTTTGAGAGCCCCTTCTTTAAAGATCCTGGTTAACAAAAAAAGGAAGTTTTAAATATGATCTTTTTATTTTTGTTTGGTAATATATAATAATGTAGAGAAACTATTTATTCTGTTTTTTACATTACGGCTAGCTGCAAATTCCAATCCACTAGACACGCAATTTTCTTTCAGAAACATCATTTAGAATTTGAATTGAAGCCAGTAAATGTTTGTGAACATGAGTGAACTCTCTCTTTTCAGTGTCTGAACTAGCATTTAAGTTATATTACTGAACTTGGATTAACAGGCCATCCACATATGTAGGTCAAAACAGCTCACAAACAATAAAGTAGGCAATTCTGAAAARGATGTGAAAGCTGACGTGGTGCTGGGATGTGCCTGGTGTCAGCATCCCATAACTCTGTCCGTGGAACAACCTGTCTGCTCATAAGCTATTTGCAAGCTATAGGACTTGAGAGAAGCCAGAGCAGATATTTTGACCTTATAAATAACAGAACTGATTTTGATACCTTGTTTGGTTGGGAGAGGAGGGTTGTGCTTTTTAGTGTGACAGTAAACAAATGCAGAACRCGGGAGAACTCAGAAAATACCAGTGTAGTACAATGTTTGCATTAGGATGTAATGAATAGGCTGATTAATATGTATGTGAATCTAGATATCTGTGCAGATATATGCATAGATATAATGCAAATGAAGCTAATACATTTATAATAATCACAGGAATGAATCAGAAATCACAGGAATCTCTCTGAAGGAGAGAAAAATTASTACTCACTCCATCTGGAAGCAAAAAGGAGACATATCTTAATTTAGTAGTGTTCTTCCATGATAAAAAGGAATGATTTGTAAGGTTTTTATTTAAGATGAGTGTTAGGATTCTCTGTCAAGTGGCACTTTCAAGAACATAAACACAATAAGAACTGCTTTATTTTGTGGGAAAAAGATTTCGATTTTGTTGTTTTCCTGGAAGCCCACATATTGATCTTTTATTAGAAACTATGAAGGATGAAAAACAGAACAAGGAAGGATGAGAAATTGTGTCAGTGCAGCACAGTACTGTTATTCAGCTTGCATAAATATTTTAAAATAGAAAAACTCGAGTGAAAATGTGTCAGCATTTTGGAGGTAAATCARCTTATAAAACAAGGAAGTGTTTGTGCAAATACTCTAGAGAGAGCAGATAGTAGAAAGCATATTTCAAAAGCAAAGCTTCACCTACCTAATGCAGTATATAAAATGCAGTATATAAATACTTTTTTTTTTCCCTGAGTACCTTTTCTTTCTTAAAAGATTAGAATGGTTCTCCTTGCCAAMCTCCAAGGACATCTTTTAATGGATTTTAACTGTATTCCCTTTTTTTTTTTAGCCATGTGAAACAATTAAAACAAAATAGCTATTAGTTGTTTCTAATTCTTAATGACATATTGATTGAATTTAATTTATTCCAAAGCAGGAACATTTAATATAAGTCAGGTTGTATTTCTTTAAAGATGTAACTGTAATGGGGAAGAATAGGACAAATCAGCACTAGCTAAAATCAAGACTATGGTGATTTATGTCAGATGAATATTAGGCTGTTTGTGTCTTCAAATACCGTTTTGTGTAATAATACCAGTCAAGGAAGGATGCCAACATTTTTCTTTTAGAAAACCATAAAAGCCTTGGCTGTGAGTTATCTTCATGGTAACTCAGTAAGGGCTTACCTAACATCAAAGCAAGGGGATTAGTTCCCTTGAAACATCTCCCTCCACAGATGCTTCAGATGGYCCCAAGTGCTGAGCCAGGCTTTCTGCTGCTCTCATGCTATTTCTGTCTCTGACCTCTGTCTCTCTTGGGCAAGTCACTGCACTGCAGTTCCCTTTCTGGAAGAGTGGCCTTATCTGGCCACAGATAGCTGTATTATTGTTGGGAGGAAGTTTGGAAGAGAGAGGTTTTATCTACTGTACTTTTTAAACTTCAGCCTGTTATACTTTATTTTCCGTAATAATGTACTCCCTTATTCACCAGAGGATACACATGCTGGAGAAAACAAAAATGGGGCAAAAATTCCCCTCTCTGCAGGATTCGGCTCAGTGCTGACTCTGCTCTGAGCAAGGCTGGATCCCCTGAGGTCCCTTCCTGCCTGAGTTAAATTATGGTTCTGTAATTTCAGCCCCAAATCAATACAGTTCCTTTGAGGTCATTCATTTGCATACAATGAGGAATCCTACCTTTTGAAAGAGATGGTTTTAATACCACTCTGTCATCTAAGGTGAACATTTTTAGCTGAGAACCTATCCCCTGATGTCAGTTACAGAATTTGCTGTGAGTGATATAAAACCCTTTGCATCTTATTAAACTCATGCAGATTATCTGTCTACCTGCTACAATCTCTTCCCACCTTTAGGGATCCCTGAGGACCCACATATTGCAGAAGAATATTATAATGATGAGTTTGAATCCTGCTCAGAAAGCAGTGAAGAGGAGGAGGAGGAGGATGTGGAAGTGTCGCAGACAGTCTCTAAGATGAATCAACAGGTATATGTGGCTTTTGCGAAAACAGTATGATARCAGTATGATGCTTGATGCTTATTTTCTAAGAGAAAATTAAACTCACTTTTAGAGATGTTGTTGCACTGGTGTGGTTTTGAAGGGAGTATATATGTGTACACGTCAACACTSTGAGTTAATTATGTGTGTATGCATATGTGTAATTCATCAGATATAGCTATGGTAGAGAAACTTGCTTTCTATCAAGTTTAGGAATAGGATCCCCAAGAATACCTTATGGAGAACTGTTGTTAGTAAGCTACTTCATCATTGTAAAACACTGACGTTCTTTCATATAAGATTAGCTATGTGTAATTTAAGTTAAATGCTGAAGTTCCCGTTAATCATAAGATTGCGGGTCCCTCTCTTAATTGCTGGTGAAGGATTTGCACTTCTAGATGTCACTTCCTCCTGCCTAGTTTAGACACATTTTCTAGGGTAAAATGACAAATTATGGGCTTAAACACCTGTGAAACCTGAGCAGCAGTCTTCAGATGTGCAGATTCTCCCAAGCATCACAGAAGGGATCAATGAAAAGCAGACATTATTAGAAGGCTTAAAGTAGCCTTATCAGGTGAGGRTGTCATGAGAAAATGTTAGGGATTGCTGTTGGAGAAAAGGTTGGAGAGTATTGAAAAAGACRCCTAATTTACAGCTGGTCAAAACTGGTTGAGGTGAATCACTTTAGTGATCAAAGCTCAGTGTAATCAGTGACTTAAATGCCCAAGTCAGTTTTGAAAAGGGCTCTTCAAGTGACATTGAGGAACAACAAATTTTTACCTTGGGCCATCAACTTAAGGCATTGTGTGCAGTGCCCCTGAAAGCTTCATTTGAACAACTAGACAGATTCTTTCAAAGCATGAAATTTTCTTTTGTAGTTTCCCTATGTAAATTTTCAAGTTCAGGRGTGATTTATGATAATGTTCTATAGAAATAATTAGTGAACTGTAAAGCAGTGGGGTGTCCAAGGCCCTGCTTTTGTTGCACATGTGCAGTGTGCTGGGTCTGCGTGAAGCGAACAACCCCTGACGCACAAATTCTCTGTCGTGTGGCAAATTTACCACAATGTACTCAGGAAAATGTAGTATTTTAATATTACAAATAAAGCATTGCTCGCTTTCGTCAGACTTTATGTGTATCTTTTTCTTTTCTAGAATGCTTTTAAAAATTTTTGTTTGACTTTCATCAAAGGTATTATTAATTGTCAATCAGTAGTGTTTTTGAATAGGCAGATTGCTGCTTTGAATTAGTGAAGGACAGAAGATAAAAATAGATTTGTTAATAATGCAGAATAAATTAGGCATTGGCAGTCAGATTTTAGCAGTGACATTTAGTCATCTGTAGCCATCACCATTTAGTGTTGACAAGAACTGACATCCTGATTTAGAAGAAATGTTCCACTGACATCTCTTTTCTCCTAAAGGACTGTATGGCTGCAATTTGCCAACAGTCCATATGCACAAATTSCCTTAAATCTCCATGAATTGGCCTACACACAGTGATTAGTAAATACAGTTTGTGAATGTTCACCTTTTAGAATCTCCTCTGGCAAAGGGGCAAATTGTCTATCTTTGTTTTTTTCTCATACTGACCAGCACCTTTTTCTGCTGGATAGTGACTCAGTCACCTTTTATTTTTCTTGAAAAGTGATCCGAATTTTACATTTTCTCTTTCTCAAGTGAGAGGTTCTGCAGTGAGTCCACTGTCAAAGCAGATTAGACTTGTATGTGCCTGTAACTAGTCCATAACTTGTTGGCTCTAGACTCTTCAAATAGGGAAAATAAATAATTTTAGGGCATAATTTACCTTATCTTGCTGTATACATCTAACATAGGTCAGATAAAATATGCTTTAAAGTGCCTCCTCCTTTCCGGTCATTACAAAGGGACCTGTAGTTTTTAGTATGCCTGGAACCTCTTTGTTATGAATGACAGCAGTTTTCTGAGATGAATCCCACACACAGGTCAGCCTTATGATCAATATTAACAATATTAAACTTCRAAATCTGCCAGAATTGATGTGACCTTGCTAGTATATTGCAGGGGGTTGCTTCTGCAGTCATYTACTTCATACCAAAACTCCCACTGATCTCAGTGGAGACCAGACCAGAATTCAGAGATAAGATTCATACCCTTCAACTCTTCAAAAATGCATTCACAAATTAAGTTTTTGGAAGAATGTGCTGTGAAAGAAGCCATTCTACTGTATTTCAAGATAGGACTTGTAGGATATTTAATGTTTACCCTTGTAATCTGTGCAAACCTCTCAGCTCTCTGGTTTTGTTTTAGTGTTTTTCTTCCATGCGGAGTGGACACAGAAATGCTGCAGTCTGGCAGTGCTCCTTAGTGAGGCTGTTAGCACTTCAAACAAAGATTTAAAAAAGTCCATGCCATAGCATGAGGTCAGAAAAGTCATCTAATTGAACAGCGTATGYTCACACATGGAATTGAACAACCAGTGCATGATGTAGAAAGATATCTGAACTTATTTCTTCAAACTGTTAGGCTTGCATAGATATCAAGGAAGACTGAGACATAGTGGCCTGACTCGGAATGCAATACTGGTTCAGGAAAGAACATAGAGTAAAGCATTGAAATTCTGTAATTTTAAAGCTTTAGGATGGCAACTGAGATAGCTGTTTTCTCCTTATTATTATCTTCTAGTACAGCCCACAGATGTGCCCTCAATTACATCACCCAGTTGTATATTTGGAGTTGACACACGATTCTGACCCAGTGTCATCCAGACATCTCATCTTGCTGTAGCTTTGGAGCTCCGTGTCCCTTCTCCCGCCCTCTCTTTYCTTGCACAAAGTCCGTATGTCAGATTTCAAGCAGGAATTTTCCAGTACATTTCCAGGCTTTTGGCTCCTTCATCTGATAGCTTTTTTCCACAAGATCTTTTTTTTTTTTTTTTTTCAAGGAACGCTGTTTTTCTAAATTCAGGAAAGCTAATTAAGGAAAAACTATAAAGGAGAATGAGAAACTCCTTCTTTCTAAAAGAAGAACTTGAGAATATGAAGCTTACCAGAGTTTTCATCTTGAAAAGTTAGCCTTCCGTGAGAGTTTCACATAGGCTTTGATTTAGCTGAGATGCTAATGTATGGTTTTTACTGCAATTTATTGTCTTGCTTATTTTGTTGGGTTTTTTTTCTTTTCCTTTTGAGACAAAAATAATGGCAGATTCATGCTCTTTGTTAAGACAAGAAACCTAAAACCATACTAATATGGTACATTAACCCCTATTTTCCATTTCCAGGTTATAGGTCGTTCCTGAGCTCATCAAGCCAGATAATCAACTGGCATCAATTATCATAGCCCAGTGGTTTCATCCCTGGCCGTATGTAGCGTGTGTGCCAGCACTCAACAAATGCTTCACTGGGTTCCTRTCGCGTGCCTCAGCGTGGCTAATTGCAATTATTATGTGGTTCATTATTCTGGGATTTGAAATATCCAAGCATTCTTCCATGCTGGCTCTTGTGTGTGTCTGCTCTGTGTATCTGTCAGATTCCCTTTCCTATTCTGTAGGACTTCCCTTTCCATGCAAAAGGAGAAATATTAAAGAAATAAATAAAATATCTAAAATCCTCTTGAACTGTTAAATCCAAGTGGAGAAAAAGTCCAGGAAGTCCAGGTAGTTTTATCTCAGTGTAACTTTTCATTAAAGTGCCATAGAAACATCCTGTTAGATGATAGGATACGGTGTTAAATTCTGGTAAAACATTTTTTTGCTTGGACCTGAACAAATTCTGATCTACTTTCTGAKCACAATATTCACTTAATGATCAGCTCTTCAGATTTCATGAGTGTACATGATTAACATATCACTTTAAAGATATCATGACGAAACTATTAATTATCTGTCTACTAATATAAAACTTCAAATAGAAAAGTGATATTTTCTTGTTTTTTATTTAAAACATTTTTGATTAGTAATTATTACTAGATTTTAGTAATGCAGTTAAATGAAACATAAATATTTATTTCCAATGGCAGCTATCAGAAGCCTAAGAAATTTTGGGCCAGTTAAGAAGCTCCTAGTTTCTTTTTTTCCAATGTAATCTTGTTTTAGGTGTTTCAGGATTAACCAGTACTAAAACAGTGATGAAGAACTTCCAGAAATGGCCTACCATCCTCAACAGTAATCATGTATCTTCTTTAAACTCTTTTCTTAGCCTACACAGTTGCAAGAAATCTGACCTAAATAATTATTTGTATATAATGTCATTCCCAAACCTGTTATTTTGGGAGAAGAAAACATGGAAAAGCTCTGAACAATATATTAATGTATTTCTATGTTCTAGTGCTGACATTTGTTGGTGTAAGTACTGTCCAGTATGTTTGTGGGATTTTACCCCTGCTACAGATTTAAGTTTGTCTCACACTACTGCTGTTCCTTACCTTATTTATCCACAGGACAGTGATACTGAGGCAATGGTTGAGTATTTGGAGAGTGTGCTGAACAATAGCTCATTGGGTAAGATGATATTTATTCTCTAAATGTAATGGCAGTATTTATTAACAATCTTTATTCATGAGCACTCCAATTATTTCCATTTTGCAAGAGAACAACTCTAATGGCAATCAAAAAAGTGATCTTGAAAATTGCTTCCTTAATCTATTACACAGAAATATAAATATGACAAAAGTGAATGTGTATACTGTTATGTTCTTGGCGTGAAAATAATAGAGATATAAAACATGATGGTCAGGAGTGTAAACGCTATAGTAAAGGTTTTTAAGAACTTCTGCCATTCTTACTCTGGAGAAACCTATTTCAAGATGTGTTAGTGAAAAAGCAGATCACTTTCTCTGTAGCTGAAAGAAGTGGCATCATGGAGATCAGCCAGAACATGAAAGATTCTAGCCATTAAAAAATCAGGATAAAATATATTATCCTTAATTTTCCTAGAAAAAAAATGCTATGCTTTATAGGTAGAACTTGGGAAATCTTGCTTTCAGTTGTTTTCTTTAGAAATTTCGAGCTTTGAGACTTGTAAAGCTAATTAACAAGTTGTCCTAGGTAAGAGCAAAGCTCTGTCATATACTTAAACTGGAAAATCATAAAGACGTACATTTTTGACTATTGAAAAGTATCAATAAAAATAATATACTGGCATTTTACAAGCCATTGAGACAAGGAACTTTATGATGTTACTTTTGCTTTCCCGTTATAATGTACCTGCATGGCCTGGAGACCAGAATATATATTTGTAGGAACCTGGAAATGTTGGTTCTCCTCTTCTTTCTGCTGTTGCCATCGGCTTTAAGCCACTTGGTACCTGTCACTGTCTGAGTTTTTAAAGCGGCAGCTAAAATTAAACCTAAAAAAMCCCCAACTCTTGATCTGATGCTACCAGTGCTTTATAAATATACATGGAATATCTCTGACTAGATATGAGAGAAAAAACTCAGACGCAGAGAGTGTTAAGTAGTGGAAATGGTTTTGTGGAGAAGCTGTGAAATCTCCATCACTAGAAATGCCCARTTTTGTAATGTGAAGACTCTGAGCAAACTGATTTCACTTTGAACTGTACCGTCCRGTATGGAACTGTTGAACTAGATGTCCTCCTGAGGTCTCTGCCTCAGGCACCTAAACTGTTCTGCAACTCTGAATTGCTAAAAGCAATGAACTACTAACGTTTAGCAGTTACATTTTATTATACCTCGCAAGTGTGATTTTTCTCATTTCATATACTGGAATTCAAAGTCCAAGTCATAAATGACTTGGATGAGGGCACAGAGTTTGCRGATGACACCAAGCTGAATGGAGGGGCTGACACTCCGGAGGGCTGTGCTGCTGTTCAGAGGGACCTGGACAGGCTGGAGAGTTGGGCAGAGAGAAACCTCCTGAGGTTCAATAAGGACAAGTGCAGGGTCCTGCACCTGGGGAGGAATAACCCCAGGCACCAGCACAGATTAGGGGTCGAACTGCTGGAAAGCAGCTCTGCAGAGAGGGACCTGGGAGTCCTGGTGGACACCAAGTTAACCATGAGTCAGCAGTGCCCTTGTGGCCAAGAAGGCCAATGAGATCCTGGCTRCATCAGGAGGATGTTGCCAGCAGGTCAAGGGAGGGGATTCTGCCCCTCTACTCAGCTCTGGGGAATCTCCATGTGAGGAGGAACTTCTTTCCTGTGAGAGTGACAGAGCCCTGGCACAGGCTGCCCAGGGAGGCTGTGGAGTCTCCTTCTCTGGAGGTCTTCCAAACCTGCCTGGATGCTGCCCTGTGCTCTGGCTGTCCCTGCTGGAGCAGGGGATTGTTGGACTAGATGATCTCTAGAGGTCCCTTCCAATCTCAGCCATTCTGTGATTCTGTGAATTATGTGGATTTTTTAATAGCTTCAAGCATATGTAATAGTGAGAGAAAATGAACTAAAAGAGGAAAATTCTTTTTACATTTATCCAGTTTGGATAATAAAATATTTATTTTACCTTACAGTATCTCATTAGAGGCAGATAGCAATCACTGAGAATATAGGTTTGCAATTTAATCCTAGTTCCTTTCAAATTCTCATTACAAATGTAGAGTTTGAAAATCTAATTTCTCCTGGCATGCTTAAAAGCTGAAAATAATATGTAGATGAAAGAAGGGTATTAAAGGAGATTGGCTTGGTCACTACCCTTTCAGATCAATGGGTTTAATTGTGCCAGCAAGGCACGGTCTCAGGACTGCTGGAAAGCCCAGCCAAGTTGCCAGAGGCTCCTGCTGTAACTGCAGCTTTGTGTAGCAGCCTCATTTACACTCATTCAGTGACGTCCATCCTGACTCAGTGTTATCTCATGGCTCTGAAACAAGAGTACAGGGGAAGTGTAGGAAACCCTGCTAGAGACTGCTCTGATGCAGGGTTTTGACTCACCCCTCTGCATGGGCATGGACTGATGGGAAGGGAAAACCTAGGAAAGAGACAGAGGGATGAAAAGGAGTAGCAAGAAGTCAAGGCCCCTGCAGTCCTATAGCCACTGAGACGCATCTGGCCATGGTTTGTGTCCTCTTTCAGCAAGGGCTGGACTCGGGGAGGTTCTTGGGCCTGTCTGAAGGGAGACCCATGCTCGTGCTCTGTGTCTTCACGCTAACAAGACCCCTGCTCTTCTGCTGCTGCTGCTCTCTGTGGCGCTTTGGCAGCACATCCTCTGTAGGGGGCTTGCAAACATGGAAAGAAGGACAAAATTTAGCTCCGGGCATCAATGTTTTGTTATTCTAATATGAGAGGAATTGCCTTGGGAGCTGCCAGGATGAATAGAGACAATTTGAACCCCTCCAAGTTTTTTGGTTGGTTGGTTGTTTTTCTTTTTTTAATATTAATTATTGAAGAGATTCTTGGCTTCCTCTTTTTCAGTATTAAGAGCAAGAAGATGCCTTTTGAAATAATAACACTACAGGATGAAATTGTGCTTTAATTATTAAAACTATCTGACCAGTCAGTGCTGAAAGTTAAATCCTTTTCTCTAAACTGTGTTATAGCAATTAGATATGCATGATGTGTTCCAAAAAATTATGTGATGATGACTGGAGAATCTGCTAGAGTCCCTTTTATCTAAACATTTATTATTTTAAACTCTTCCAATATCAAGCTATAAGGATGCAGAGAGTACTATCTTTAAATTAAACTACTGTATCTCCCATCTTATTAACATATATCTTAATCAGAAGAGCTTTATAAAGGGAGTCTTTTTTTTTTTAAGTCAGGATTTAAATCTAGAAGCATCATGTTTAGGCAAGAAGATTACTTGAAAGATTGTATTTCACTCATCAAAACCCAAGTAATTAAATGCAAGATTCAGGAATTATTCTCTATCTTTTTTTTTCTTCCCCGTTATTTTTTTCTGCATTATTTGAAGATTCTCCAATATTCTATTTTCAGAAGATGCATTCATAAGGCTAAATGTCCATTTGCCTTTAGCTTGTCCTAGTTTGTTCACAGATACTTAGTACGAGTTTAGAGACATAATTACTCACTAAGTCTTGTTGAGGATGAAAAGGAAAAACAGCTTAGATGTAACCAAAAAAAAAGTTTTTTTAATTAGTTTAACTGAAACCTTAATAGTCCAGTCAATGAATTGTTGTTAGTCTACAGTTATTACAGAAAAAGAAAGAAAAAGAGAATGAATAAATGAATACTGCCATGTAGAAGAAGTCTCAATAACAATGCAGTTAAAATACTTAAACACACACTTCTTACTATATCTTTTCTTATTTCCTTACTATATCTTTTCCTTTTCAATATTCAAAGCCAATATTGCTTTTTACTAGCAATGGCAATGCTGCACTACAGGGCTACAGCCATATTATAACTGCTACTCCTGAAAACACCCATGGATTTTTAAAGAATAATAGAGTAGATACAGAAGTTTAGCCTAGCCAGAATTTACCATGATGTTTTTCATTTTTAAGCTATCATGAAAGATTTATGTGCTGTTCTGAGTAGGTCTTAGAAAACACTGAAGTAGTGCAAAACCAGAACATTGCTTATGGTAGTTAGGGCTGCGATACAGAGGGTGCTACAGGTGAACACTGTTTTTCCACAGCTGGCATTTCTTTAGGATAAAATCTCAGTGGTGAGAGAGGAAGCCTGCTTTATTTATTTATTTATCTATCTATTTATTTATTTATTTATTTGCTGATTTTTCTCCCAGAGAGTTCTCTGATTGACTGGGTACTAGCACTTCAGTGTGGTGCAATATACATTTTGGAATTCCTTTGCAGCTCCTTATGGAACAAATTTGAACTGAATTAAGATCATCTATGCTGATACAGTTTGCAAAATTGGGAAGATCCTGGAAAAGAACTGGGGAAATTGAAAAAAAGAAAAAAAAAAGAAAAGAAAGAGAAAAACTGGCTTTACAGTTTATGTAATCTTTTTAGCTTAAAGAGGGAGAGGTTAAGGGCTATTTCAAGACTTTTTATGAATATCAACACAGGAACATATATCTGATTCTAGGAGACTTTTAATCTTGTAGAAGGAGGTACGCTAAGATCTACCACGTGTAAGTGAAAGCTGACAAAAGAAAAACTGCTCTATTATTTAGTAAGATAATAGTTTCACAGTAGATAATGACTTGTCAAGGGAGATAATATATGACTGACACAAATTTTTGGACTGTTAACAGAAATGTTGATAGGAAGTCCTTTAGGACATAATGTATAAGAAAGCTTATGCTATGAGCTAATCACAGCTGTCCTTTTTAAATGTAAGTACTTAGGTGAATAAATGCAAAGCAGGTGATTTGTGTTTTTATAGATCCTTTAGCCTTCCTCTCTCTTGATAAAGTGTGAAGGATGCAATAATAACCTCAAAACTGGTGTTTCATGACTCCAGATAAGGAACATTTGCCATTTTGCCCTCTGTTATCTCCAGTGGCTTGGACTAGTCACTGGCAGAGTATTCTTCTTTAAAATTCATTTAGAAAGTGGACAATATCTGTTTTGAAAAACAGCTCTTTGGATGCTTGTCTAAGTAGCATGGTTATTTATTCTGGGCTGATGATTGAGTATGTAAGTTGCCCAAGGCTGAATGCAAAGTATATTATTAATCAAGTAACTGCTTCTAAGAGGCAATGCCTTTTCTAAGAAAGATTGGAGATCAGCTCAGTAAAAACTATTTTATGCCTGTCATAGTATCAGCACAAAAGACTTAGCAGTTTTCACTGAGAACTCATTTTTTATGACTACCCACACCTTTGCAGCATCCTACAATCTGTATTCCTTGCAGCATATTTAATGGAAAGGAAGGTATTAGTTTGTGTTTAGAGAATAGCTTTTTGCTTGGCCAGTTGCCAATGTAGGTAGAAGGCAAAGGAAGAGCTACTTCGCTGTAATCCCAGAAAAAAAAAGAAAGAGGATATTTTTAATAATGAAATGTCAGAGGAGATAAAATATTGTAGCAATAAATAGACTGAGCCCACTAAGCAGAATTGCTCAACTCTTACCGCATGATATCACAGAATCACAGAATCACAGAATATTCAAGGTTGGAAGGGACCTCTAGAGATCGTCTAGTCCAACCTTCCTGCTCAAGCAGGCACACCTACAGCATGTGGCACAGGGTGGCATCCAGGCGGGTTTTGAAGACCTCCAGAGTAGGAGACTCCACAACCCCCCTGGGCAGCCTGTTCCACTGCTCTGTCACCCTAACAGTAAGGAAGTTCCTCCTCACCTGGAGACGGAACTTCCTGTGCTTCAGCTTGTGGCCATTACCCCTCGTCCTATCGCTGGCCACCAGTGAGAACAGCTTGTCCCCTTCYTCCCTGCATTCTCCTTTCCTGAACTTATACATATTAATCATATCCCCTCTGAGCCTTCTCTTCTCCAGAGAAAACAGGCCCAGCTCACTCAGCCTCTCCTCGTACGGGAGATGTTACATTCCCTTAATCATCCTGGTTGCCCTTCTCTGGACTCTCTCGAGAAGCTCCATGTCCCTCTTATACTGGGGTGCCCAGAACTGCACACAGTGCTCCAGGTGCGGCCTCACCAGAGCTGAGSAGAGGGGCAGRATCMCCTCCCTYSAYCTGCTGGCAACACTCCTCCTGATGCAGCCAGGATCCCATTGGCCTTCTTGGCCACGAGGGCACACTGCTGACTCATGGTTAGCTTAGTGTCAACCAGGACTCCCAGGTCCCTCTCCATGGAGCTGCTCTCCAGCAGGTCGACCTCTAGTCTGTACTGATGCCTGGGGTTATTCCTCCCCAGGTGCAGGACCCTACACTTGTCCTTGTTCAGCCTCATGAGGTGCCTCTCTGCCCAGCTCACCAGCCTGTCCAGGTCCCTCTGGATGGCAGCACAGCCCTCCGGAGTGTCGGCCACTCCACCCAGCTTGGTGTCATCCGCAAACTTGCTCAGGGAAGCGTATATATATTCTGTACTTGTGGTATACTTATATACTTACATATATCCTGTTAGGATATACTTACATATATCCTGTAAGTGTAGTAATACTTGTAGTAATACTGGAATTTAGTCGAGGCCTGTGGTTAAATGTACTTTGTCTTAAAAGAATGTAAAGATTATGTTTTTCATCAAAATGCAAGTGGTTGGGGCACCATTTTTCTAATTGCTGTTTGAATCTGATGGTGATGTCATAGCCCAAAGCTGCACATCTGGACTCTAGTTCTAGACTAGTTCAAGAAAGACCAAGCATTATCAAGGATAATAAATCATGACCACAGCACTTGAAGCTTCCTTAGGGTTTCCTGCATGGATAGCAAACTACTTTAACACTGTTAAAAGGTAATGGAATGTTTGTAAAGKCCAAATTAAAATGTATGGATGTGTGTGTAGTGGTGGAGTAAATTATCAGGCATTTTCTTCTTCATCCATGGGTGAAAGTTATTGACTGCTGTAAGAACTGAGCTTGTCACGTTTCCATATTTTTAACTACATTAACAGTACCTCTATTATATAGTAAAAGTTAGCCACCAAATAATTGTCAGTCATTAGGTGTAAATACAAGTTATAAAAATGTTTTTAAAAAATAAATGGTTTATCTGATCAGACAGCAGAGTCAGGAAAACATTTTTTCTCTCGTCTCTCTGCCCATCTGCTTTCTACTTACACTTGCAAAGCTCTCAATCCTGCATGATGTGAGCTATGCGTGACAGTATGTCAAGCTTTAATGACAGTGTGTCTTGCTTATTTATATGATCAGGATCTGTACTCACATGAGATATGTGAGCTCCTGGGAAAGGCAGGATTATTCATTCAGTGGGAGCACTGGATGCTCTCTGACCATGTCTATACTGCTCATGCCAGGAGGGTAGCTCTCTTGGGCTGTGGGTGATCRATGTTAACCCAATTCAAGCTAAAATCTATCTTGCAGTCCAAGCTGAGTCCAAGCTAAAAGCCCCTGCTAGGAGAACAGAGTGGATTTATTTAGCCCAATGTGTCTGTGTGACTTTGGTGCATTCAGAGCCTGTGCAGTGTCTGCACGCAGCCTGGGCTCTGCGTGCAGCTGCCTGCCTGTTGACCCAAGGTGCGGTTCCACCCCGGAGCATATCCTCCTGGTTGGGAAGTGACCTACTGCTGCTGACTGTTTTGCAAGAGGAAACTGAAATAGCTGCTTTGGCTTAGCGGGGTGAATGCTGAAGGGATCTCTATTTACAATTTTAAGTAAGGGGACTACGCCAAAGGGAAGAGAAGTACTGAGTACACTGAGGGACAATTTGGGCACAGGAGAAAAATGAGCACAAACTGGCCAATGACTCGTTTTGTCTGGAAATCAGGAGGGCATCAGATCACAGTAAGGGTATGTTATTTTTTTTTACAATAGGAGTTGTAGGGGCAATAAATAAAGAAATAAATAAATAGAATCTGAAGTTTGACCAGAACCACCACATAAAATAGCAGGATATTCGAGTTGACAGCTCTGCCTGTTCTCTATTCCTGTGAATGAATACCAGAGCACTCTATGAGTATTAGGTTTTTAAAGATCTCATTACCTCGTAAGATGTGTGTGTGTGTATATATGCACATATGTATTTTTTATGTCCCTTATTTACACACACATATATATATCTCATCATCTGAATCCCCTCATCTGAAAGGGAAGTTGATGTTTCATATAAAATGCAATTTACAATTTATGTGTCTCAGCACTTTCTCGTGTAGATTCTTTCTGTTATAATATAATTTGCTGTACAAGATATTGAAGGAAAATTGTTGTCATAGCTGTAGTACCTTTAAGCTATAAATCTACTTGTCACTCAGAAAGGAGCTGCCCTTAATTTGGGTTTAATAATCTAATTCATCTTTAATTAATGTGGCATTACCTTGTGAGAAATGGGAATAGTCATCCCCCCTCCGCCTGCCCTTGGCTCTGCAGTGGTGCCCRGGAGATGAAAGTGAGTAAGGTCATGTGTCTGTGAATTGATTTGTAGGCTCTGGGACCGTCACCAGAATGGCTCCTGAAGTGCCCCAGGGATTGAGGGCTCTCAACAGCACTATGGCTGGGACCAAACTGAAACGCATGAGGGAGTAAGTAGCTTATTTTTGTGTTACTGGTTTCATGATAAAGGGGATGGTTTTGAGTAACAGCAGAACACAGGAAAGCAAACCATGTTGTTTCCTTGCCCTCCAGGATCTCCCCAACTAGAAGAAGTGGATCCTAAGGTATTTATTATAAACTGGATGCCAGCTTACCCCAGGCAAAAATGAAGACTTTTGAATGTTTTCTTGTACTCATAGCTTCTTTCTCTTCTCATTTTCTTGTCTTCATAGCTTCTGGTTCATTCTGGGTTTCTCTGTCATCTCAACATATACCCCTGGATCAGTTGCAGATATATTGATGTTATTATCATGTTTGCTCCCTTACCCAGGCTTGACTGGCATGAGGGGCTAGAGAATTTGCTTTCCTGTGATGATAGCCTGACTGAAAACAAGCATTATTACTGTTGCTTGGGATTTTCAAATAAGACTAAGGAATTTACCCGTGCTGTTCCCTTTGCATCTCAGTGTCTCATTACTGATACTGAAATTCCAGCTTTCATTCTCTTAATACAGCAAAGACTTATACTGGTTAAGATATTTGAAACGTCATCCAGTAAATCGCTCGTAACTTCTTGCCTTCAAAGATATATTGTACGCTTACTTAGGTACTGATCTGGTAATCATGGGGCTATGCATTGTCTCTCAACTCAGATCTTCCTAACAGTTGCACCATTTCAGCTATCTTGGATTGTAAACACTTCTAGAAAAGGTCAGTTTTGTCTTCTGTGAATGGACAGGCACGAGGACATGATAGATGTTATTGGAACACAAATAATACAGATAGTACTATTAGCTATTTAAGTGACTCCTCTACCAAAAATGCACCCAACTATAACAGTTTTGACACTAATCACTTTCTAAAATGCCCTGGAATAATAAACAGACCATATATATTCAAAAGAAATTCCAGTCAGATTTTCTTCAGATAGATTTTGTTCGGTTTTACGATATGTCAAGATGCAGCAGCTCCTAGGATTTCACTTCATGAGTTGGCCTGTGTTGTGAAACCAGGTCTCTCTAATTCCTTTCCATTTATTTTTCATGAAAAACATTTTCGTAATCAAAAGAAAAAAATCATCATGTGCTATTTGGTTGTAGGATCAGGTTGTTTAGACAAAATTGTTACTGATCTTACAGCCTTTACATTATATTCTCATAGTAATGGGATAAATCTGCACTGAAAGCTATTAAACATTTGACTTGTTCCAAGTTATAGTATATATAGGAGTATACATATAGAAGGCCTGGATGAAAATATTTAAATTTCATTCCTTGAATTGCTTATTCTTGTTCCTGAAGATGATGCTGTGTCTCAACCTTTTGAAATTCATGGTCATTGCCTTTATGGCTGAAGTATTACTAAACCACTTGCTTCGTTCAGGCTCCATTTTTAAAGAGCTRTTTGTCAGTTTTCACAACTTAGTGACCTTGAGCTGCTCAGAAGCCTTTGAACTTAGTAGGATAGGCACGTAATGACACATAAAAGCTGATCATCCCAGAATAGTTTATAAAACAGATATATGTTCATGTAAAGCCTAATTACCCAGAATAATTTGCATGTAATGCATTAGGCCTCCCACTAGTTGCTTAGCTCCTGAAAGACAACCAACAGCAACAACCAAAGCCCCACTCAAATGCCACCTTGAGAACAACCAACAGACCGTGCCCATGAACCATTCTAAAGTTATATTAATATCCAGGATATTAAGGAGCTTTGTGCTTTTTTTTTGTTTTTTTTTTGTTGATTTTTCGATTGTGGTTAGTTTGATAGAGAAGTGTACAGAACTGTTCTTGTGACTTATCAAACTGGTTAAAGGTTTATAGCAAAATGTCTACTCAGTTTATCACCCTTTCTCCTAAGTAAACTGTGACCAGGACATTTTCTGAATATTTTAAGGTGAGACAGTTTATTATCTTAGAAATGAGGATGTTAAGAAACAAGCAAATGAGCACGGTACACGCACACATACCCAAAGAGATCCCTGCAAATTCCCATCTGGGCAAAATGTATGCTTAGAGCAAGGTGGCAGAGTTGTCAGTGGGGAGAAGGAGTACCTCTAACTGCAAAATAGTGCTCTGAGCATCAGTGGTTCTGTTCATCCCTGAACAAACTTCACATAGTGCATCATAACTCATCTGCACAGGAGCGCTGCTTGGACAAGATTATATAAGATTAATGTAATTTAGAGTTGTGCTATTCAGTTTTACTTGAGAAGTTGCAGGGATCCGCCAGGTGACAACTTTTRATAAGACAGAGAATGTGTTTTCTTTTGTCTTAAAGAAAATGAGTAGCTGGAGTTCTTGTAAGGACACAGGAAGAAAGAACAGTAGAAGCCCATATGAAAGCGCAGTGGCATCTAGGTGCCACCTAACCACGGAAAGAGAAGCATGAAATTTGATGATTAGTGCCATTATCAGATATTAATAGGGATAACTGTGGTGAGGGAGGCTCAAAAATTACTCAGGAAGTAAGCATAGTGCCTACACGCTGCAAATCCCATTAATGAAGGAAACTCTTCCAACTCTTCCACTCTGATAAAATGGTATAGCAATTTAAAGTGAGCACAGAATCTAACTGCGGAAAAGGTCTTTTTGTCATACTTAATTGATACATGTAAATGGTGTGCACTTGCAAGCAAATGTAGCAGGACATATGCTTGCAAGATGTCATGTGCTCATTACTTGGAGTCATTGTTGCCCTGAATGTTTTCTTGTCAGTATGTAGACTTGGTGTCTTGACAGTGTGTGGTGGCTTCTGCTGCATTCTGGTGCATAGCTTTAAACATATATTCATATGAGAGAGGCAGGAAATAGTGCTAAAAATCTTTACAGAGATGTAGAAGCCACTGATGTTCTTGAATATGGTAGGTAGGMATCCATTGTCTCTGACTATTTTAAATAAAAATTGCTTATAGCTTAACTCATAGATAGGCTGATATAAGCTTCTGTCACTACAGTCCAAGAATTCTTTTACAAACATCTGCTTCCAATCCCCCTTGCATTCTCTGTTCCAGCATTTTGAATCCCTGTAACGGTCATGATAAAACTACCTACTCCAGTGACAACAATTTCTAGCTTGATATATTTGGCATCAGTATTCATTATGAACTTTGTGGCATCAGGGATTTAACTTTATCATTCAAGTGGAGTTCATTCTCTCTGCAAAAATTTTTACTTCATTGCTAACAATTTCAATACTGGGATGTTCTGCAGAGATGATAAAAAATTCCATTTCTTGAACTAGCTCCTGCAAAGGTTATCTGAACTTTTCTTATAATTCTCCCTCCCAGCCTTACATGTTGTGGTGGGAAGTCAGCAAGATACATAAATCACASTTATGTGATTCATATTCCTCATGTTGAATTTCTAGGCTGAGGAATCATGTTAGATGCAGAAAACRGAAGGACTCATGTCCTGGCCCCTATCTCATTGCCCTGACTGATCCCATTCCTGGCTGTACTGGATCACTTGGCACATGGAATATGCCGAGCCATGAAAGATGGCAGAATCTGCAATAACAGACACAGAAACAAAATTTTTAGATTTGTCTGAAAAAAAATATTCTGCCTCCTTTCAGATTACTGTATCCTCCGAATGTAAGACCACCTCAGTTGGCCCTTCACAGTGCAGTGCCCTGCAGAAGCACACAAGTACCATGAGCCTATGGGAGGTCTCCCAATACGTGGTTGACATCTCAAGTCAGTACAGGAGGCCATAGTCTAATAAAGGAGAAGGGTGAGAAATAACATATGTGCATGCAGAAATTTTTAGAAATAAAAGTGCCTTATTTGACTTTGTGCAAAGGGGTATATACACAATTGCACTTCTATATATTAAGTAGTATTTGCATTTCAGATGTTCCCCTTGAAGCCTCCTCAAAAATGTATAAATAATATTTATATTATTCTCCTTGAAGCCTCCTCAAAATTTTAGTCAATTTTTTTTTCTCAAAGTTTGCTTGTAAAATCAGGATTTGTGTTCTACAGAGTAAGGCTTATACTAGAACAAACAAATATCTATGGAGCAGACTTTTTTATCTTGTACCTTCTGACCTGAAAATATGTAAAGAATTAAAAACATTAGAAAGGAGCAAAAAATAATATTAGAATAAAGTGTTTGTGGTCCTTTTGTATCCTGGAAGAATCCATGAATACACACAATGAGCCAGTTTAATAGCAGTGAACTTTAATATGCAGTTTATAATTCAATAAAATGTGTACTGGTTAAATAAAAAGGCTTTTATGCCACAAATTTTAGGTAAATTAAAACCTCCAGCACAGCAGTAAGTACCTCTTAGTCAGTCCCTGAAGTCTCACACACAGCAGCATACCATGGTCAGGCAAAAGACTTCAGCATCACCTGCTGAGTGTAGGTAAAATTGTCTTTCAGGAGTCATGGAGAAAAGGCATTTGGTGGTATTTTTATCCTGTTCCTGTGAATGCTCATAATGCTACTGGTTTCAATTCTTGAACAGTATGCATATATGCTTCTTGTGTTTGTGACATTCGCGTCAAATGTCCCATTTATCTTAAAAATTCAGAAAGAAAGGTCACACTGAAGTGATTGAATGAGCACCGGATAATATTAAGTATTCCTGAAATGCCTAAAGCAGAGGAGAGTTTCTGTACATTTATTCCTGCACATCTTTGGAGTTCTGCAATAAAGAAACTGATTATTTGATTTTATTCTTGAGCGTTAGATGCTCAAAGTTGGATGAACTTTCCTAAGGGCCAACTCAGCTCATACTGAAACTAGTTTTGTTATTGGCATCACTGAGGGCAGCTTTAGGTGAAGACCAAATGCAACAAATGCAGAAAAGTCAGTGGATTCTTTGACCCCCCTATGCAAAATAGCACCACGACCTTTCATTACCATTGATTCTCATGATGGCTGAGTCAAGACTTAAAACATGCCTGGAGAAATGAAAGACATTTTTAGTGAGGAAACTTGCTGTCACTGTCTGATCTACCACTGTTTTTGAGAGCTAA